GATAGATAGATAGATAGATAGATAGATAGATAGATAGATAGATAGATAGATAGATAGATAGATAGATAGATAGATAGATAGATAGATAGATACACATACATTTCTAATCATAATAGTTTTAAAAACTGATCTCTAATAACTGATTTATTTTCTCTTTGTCATGATGACAGTAAATAATATTTGACTAGATATTTTTCAAGACACTAATATTCAGCTTAAAGTGACATTTAAAGGGTCATGACACCCCCCACTTTCGGTTCAGGTCCACCTCAGAATTATTTCAAAAGATGTGTGATAATGGGCGAGCAGAGGGCAGGAGTGGGCGTGGCCAGCAGAGCAGGGGAGAAATAGGGGAGTGAACAACTGTTGTCAGTCGGTTTACAAACCATGAGGAGACCCATGATTTTATAGATTACAAAGTTAAAATGCAAAGAAAAATACAGTAATTTAATGCCCTGCTACATTTGTCATTTGTAATTTCATACACACAACCACAATTTATACAATTGTACAGATAATAGTGTTTATATAAACACTATAAATGAGGACTTCTCCCTCAATCCCCGGGTCTGAATGCAGACTCAGTGCAGCAGGTCTCTTGCCCTGTCTATTTAAACCATTAGCCCTGCTGGTAATCTAGAGGATTTAGGTGAACACAGCAGCACGGCGATGTGTGTAAATGTGAACAAACTCCTGATAAAAGTCCTGATAAAGTCCGCCATTCTCCAATTCTCGTACTGCTCTCCCGACAAAAACGCTTGCTGCACACAAACAGCTTTGCTGTATCAGCCCTGACAGCATCACTGGAAAACCTTCCAACAAACCCTGTGGAGCATGAAACAAACACATACGAGCCTTCATGATCGGCTAAATACTGTGTGCCGTGGGTCCGTCCAGTCTCACCCAGTCATCAATGTAAGATCTCACGCTCGCAGCTTGGCACTGGCAGGTCAGCCTTGCCTTCGGAAAGCACGTGCTCTCATGAATATTTAAGAAGCCGGCTCTTCTCATAGGATAAGAAACTCAGCTATGAATAATAATGCCTCATCTTTGCACTTGCAGTTTTGCACCACTTCGTCGATTTTGATCCGCCCAAAAATCATATTAAACCCGGAAGCTGAAATTAGCTGACAAAAGCTCAACATTATCCAGTTTTCTCCAAAATTAAAACTGACAGGAGCTAACATCGTCTTAACTGATGCTCAACACACAAATCTGTTAACATCTCAAAAAAATACTTGAGGGTTTCGTGAACCTTTAAAGGCTTAATTAGGTTAACTAGGCAGGTTGGGGTAATTAGGCAAGTTATTGTATAACGATGGTTTGTTCTGTAGACTATCTAAAAATATACAGCTTAAAGGGGCTAATAATATTGACCATAAAATGTTTTTTAGAAAATCAAAAACTGCTTTTATTCTAGCCGAAAATAAAACAAATAAGACTTTTTCAAGAAGAAAAAATATTATCAGACATACTGTGAAAATTTCCTTGCTCTGCTAAACATCATTTGGGAAATATTTAAAAAAGAAGAAAAAATGAAAGGGGCTTATAAATCTGACTTCAACTGTATATAGTGACACCTACATTTTTCTTATGAGCTGCAGTGACACCTGCTGGAGGACAACACAGCTGCAGCTCTCACTGAAAACACTGGAGGAACTGCTGTATTACTGTTTAAACAGACTAACAAAGTTGTCTGTGAATATGGCGATTGTGTTTTAGTCATGAGGAGTGATTGTGTGTAATGAGGTTAATTGTGTTTGTTGTGTTCAGGGAAGGCAGATCAAACGCACACATTAAAGGAGATTACCAGCGCGTGGGTGATGTCATGCTCAAGAACATCCAGGGCCTGAAGGTCAGCAGGTCCAACATAATATCATGCATTTAAACTAATTAATGCACAGACAAATATGATTAATGCTAATTGTTTTAAAGCATTTTTATGTGTTTTTTTTTATACAATATTTTATTTTGCTTCTCTTTTTTGATGTTTCGTTGTTGATGTTTTAGGTGGGAGGGTGTTTGTCTATATCTCTTTCTCTCTACATCTAAAAGTGCCTTATAAGTACTGTAAACATTCAGTCATTCATTTTCCTTCGGCTCAGTACCTTATTTATCAGGGGTCACCACAGCGGAATGAACCGCCAACTTATCCAGCATGTGTCTTACACAATGCATGCCCTTCCAGCTGCAACCCAGTACTGGGAAACACCCATACACACATTCAATCTCACACACACACACACACACACACACACACACTACGGCCAATTTAGTTATATATAACCTATAGCGCATGGAAACCCACACCAACACGGGGAGAAAATGCAAACTCCACACAGAAATGCAAACTGGCCCAGCCGGTACTCGAACCAGTGAACCGTGTGTGTGTGTTTGTGCGTATGTGTATGTATGTGTGTATATGCATATATATATATATATGTATATATATGTGTGTGTGTGTGTGTTATTGCGTGTATCTGTGTGTATATGTCTATGTGTGTGTGTCTATTTATGTGTGTGTGTTTAAATATGTGTGTGTGTGTGTCTCCTCAGCTGCTGTCAAGTCATCTGCAGAAGCACTCTGAGTCTCTGCTGGAGCTGGAGCAGTCGTGCCGCTCGTCTCGCCGGCTGGAGGTGTTGTGTCGAGACTTCGAGTTGCAGAAGGTGTGTTACCTGCCGCTCAACATCTTCTTCCTGCGGCCGCTGCACCGCCTGCTGCACTACAAGCAGATCCTTGAGCGCCTCTGCAAACACTACCCTCCGACACACGACGACTTCAGAGACTCACGAGGTGTGCATACACACACACACACACACTCACATATATATATATATATATAAACGCACAGAGACATATACATACACAAACACAAGCAGACACACACACATAAAAACATACACAAATATATACACACAGACATATGCACACACACACACACACACACACACACACACACACACACACACACACACACATATATACACAGATAAACACAAAAACACACACACACAGACACACACACACACACACATATATATATATATATATATATAAACGCACAGAGACATATACGCACACATACACACATATGCACACACGCATGTTGTATGTGTGTGTACATGTATATGTGTGTGTGTGTGTGTGTGTGTGTGTGTGTGTGTCGATGATATGGTTGATATATGTGTGTGATATGGCTGATGTGTGCATGTTGTCTGTGTTTACGTGTGTATATGTGTGATATGATGTGTGTTTGGGTGAGTGTTGTGAGATATGTGATGTATGTGTGTTTGATGTGTAATATGTGTGCATTGTGTGTGTGTGTATGATGTGTGAGTTGTGTGTGTGTATGTGTGTGTGTGTGTTTGTTTGATATATGTGTGCATGTTGTATGTGTGTGTAACTATTATATATATATATATATATGTGTGTGTGTGTGTGTGTGTGTGTGTGTGTGTGTGTTTGTGTGTGTGTGTGTGTATGTGATATATGTGCATGTTGTGTGTGTGTGGTGTGTGATATATATACGTGTGCGTGCATGTGTGTGTGTGTGAATGTGATATGTGTGTGATATGGATGGTGTGTGTGTGTGTTTATGTGATATGTGTGCATGTAGTGTTTGTGTATGACGTGTGATATATATGTGTGTGTGTGTATTTGTGTGTGATATGTATGTATGTGTATGTGTGTGCGTGTTGTTTGTGTGTATGTGATTGGTGTGTGTATATGTGTGTGACAAGTGTGGCATATATGTGAGTGTGTGTGTGTGTGTGTGTGTGTGTGTGTGTTTATGGTTGATTTATGCATGTCTGTGATATGGTTGATGTTTGTGTATACATGTATGTGTGTCTATGTGTATGATGTATGTGATATTTGTGTGTGTGTGTGTGTGTGTGTAGCTGCGCTGGCGGACGTCTCAGAGCTGGTTCTTCAGCTTCACACCACACTCATGAAGATGGAGAATTTCCAGAAGCTTCTGGAGCTCAAGAAAGACCTGGTGGGCATCGACAGCCTGGCGGCTCCTGGACGGGTCAGTCAGTTCTGCAGTTATGATCAGTGATATTACAGTAATGATGCTTATAAACTGCTCATGAGCTCTCGCTGTTTGCTCTGCAGGAGTTCATCAGGCTCGGCTGTCTCAGCAAACTCTCTGGGAAAGGCCTCCAGCAGAGGATGTTCTTCCTGGTGAGACCGTTAACATGTTTTGGGAAACAGTAATACCATGGTATTTTACCGAATATGCCTCTTTAAGTGAATCGCTTTTCTCCATGGTTTCAAGAGATCGAAAATAATGTAAATAAGGTATGATTACTTGACCTTGTCAATCTGTATGTTCACTTGATGTGTTTGTGTGCAGTTCAGTGATGTTGTGATGTACACGAGTCGAGGATTGACGGCGTCCAATCAGTTTAAAGTTCACGGTCAGCTTCCTCTCTACGGCATGACGGTGGGTCAGACTTCACCTATTTTACCCCACAACATAAACACTGATGATCTTTCAGCTTCGCACAGCCAAACCAAAACATTATACCCTTGATATATGTTTAGCTTTAGGTGAGGAGAGCAAAATTAAGTGACAATTTAAACCCAAATCTATTAGAAAGCAGGTTATGTTCTGCTCACACGTGGGCTGATGGCCTTCATTTCGACATCTCTCTTCAAGATGTAGCTTAAGCACACAGACAGCTGCTTTATCATGGAAATGCAATTATAGAGAAACATTCAGATGGAGAATTTACATTTATTAGACACTATTTAAATTGTAAACTGCTGTCTTGATGTAAAAATATTGAACGTTTCTCTTCTAGAGTCTCAACCACAGGAGTTCTTCATGCAGAATTGAGTGTTCTTGACTTGTTTTGTGAGTGTTTGACTAACCGGCGGGTTAATCTGTCGTGTGTTCGTTCGTTCGTGTGTTCGTGTGTTTGTGTGTTCTCTCAGATTCGGGAGAGCGAGGACGAGTGGGGTGTCCCGTATTCATTCACTCTGTTCGGACAGC